TCCCCAACGCAACTGCAATAAGTAATCCTCTAAAAATTTTAAATAAATTTTAATCCTTAGACATTTATAAGTTTTTAGCTTCTCCCCTCATGCAAATAACACCATGCCACTTCTTTCCAGTGCCACTTGCTCTTCCCTCTGAATATGACTTAGCTGCCTGCAAAACTGGCACTCTTTTATTATTTACCAAATATGTATTAAGAGCCCTCCATATGCCAGGCACTGCTGGGCACACAGTGATGAACAAAAGCATGCTCTCCTAGAACTCCTAGTACAGTGGGGTCAGCAAACCGACGTAAGTGCCAGGAAGGAAAAGAATGCAGAATTTTGATGGGGTGGGAGTCAGGAAGTTCCCCTGTATCCAGAGTCACGCTAGAATTAACATCTAACAGAAGAATAGGAGACACCAGGCAGATAACAATAAGGGATAGAAGCAGAACAGTTTCCAGTTGGTAGAACAACATATAGAAAGGCCCGCTGGCAGGAGGGCATGTGGAGAAACACAAAGCAGGATGGTGCACAGTGAGAAGAACTTGTGGCTTGAGGCTGGGCAGGAAGGCAAGGCCAGGCCACCCAGGGCCTTGCCTGTTCTTTAGTCACTATCGGAAGAACAACTGAGGAGTGTTAAGCTGGGATATGATGATCATTCATCCAAAGCACACTTGCTGAATGCTAACATGCCAGGAACTCCCCAAAGATTCAGGGAACCAAGAATGAGGAAAACAGACAAAAACCCTTGCTTTCATGGAGTTTATGCTATGATGGGAGAAGACAGATAGAAAACAAGTAAAATATACACGTGCTAAGGAGAAAATGGAGATAAAGTTGCAGGCTGAGTGAGGGGTGCTAGGGACAAGGGGGAAGGTGGGCTATTTAAGCAGGGTGGGCTACAGAAGGCCTCCTTAAAGATGATATTTGAACAGAGACCTGAAGGAGGTGAGGGATTTGGCCATATAGATTACCAGGAGAAGAATACTGCAGCCAGCTGAAATAGTCTTTGCAAAGGCCCTGAAACAAGGGCTTGCTTAGTGTCCTGTGGGAACCACGTGAAGGACAATGGTCAGAATCTAGTAGACAAAGTCAGAGACAGCAGCAGGGAGCCAGGTCACACAAGGTGGCTATCACAACACTGTCTTTTACCCTTGAGATGAGAACTTTTGGGAGGTTTTGTAGAGAGGGGTTGTAATCTGGCTTCCCTTTAAAAATGATCCCTCTAGACACTGCACTGGAAATAGATTGGGGTCGGGGGATGAACCAGTTGGGAGGGTATGGCTATAATTTAGACAACAGTGGCTCAGACCAGGGTGATAACAGTGGAGCTGGTGAGAAGTGGTCAGATTCAGAACAAACACAGTGTAAAATCAACGGGATATGCTAATGGCTGGGAGGTATAACATGAGAGAAAGATAAGAGTTAATTAAGGATGACTCCCAGATTTTTAACCTTGGCAACTGGTAGAATGGAATGATCCTTACCGATATGGAGAACAGTCAGTACAGAGAAGCAGGTTTCAGGGTGAAAATCAGTTTTGTTTTGGGCACATTGGGTTTGAGATGCTTATTAGAAATCCAACTAGGGATTCAAGTGTATCTATATATCTAGATATTTGAGGATTCAATAAACATGAGTCTGGAGTTCAAGGGAGAAGTAAAGGCTGAAGACATAAATTAGGAAGTAGTGTACAGATGTATTCAAAGCCGTGAGACAGATGGAATGAGATCACTTATGGAGCAGAGGTGGATAGAGAAGAGAAGAGGTCTGACAACTGAGACCTGCGGCACTCCAATGGTAAGAGGTTGGGGAGATGAAGAAAAACAGCCAAAGTGGACGGAAGATGAATGGCTAGTGTAGTCATGGGAGATTGGCTGTGAAAGGCTACTCTGATTGCAGCATGTAAAATGGATTGGACGGGGCCACAAGGTGATATAGGAAGATCAGTGTAGGAAATTGTAAAAATGACTTCACACGGGCCTGAGACCTGGGCCTCTTGAAAGATTTTTGCCTGCAAGACTGTCCATCTCTCAGAATACAAAAATACCCACAAGAACAGCAAAGGCAAGTTTTTCAAATGGTAGCATACAACCCAGGGGAAATTTCCCATCCCATGGGAAATCTGGGGACCTGGGGAGCCTACTCCTCTCATGGGAGGATGCAGGATTGCCTTGTGCTTTGTGTGAACACAACCGTAAGATTCCTATCCTTTGCAATTTAATAAATGTCACTCTTTCCAATTGGGTCTCTTTGTTAATCACATTGTTGTAATGTCTTCACAGCTATGTAGAAATCACTGCAGTGATCCAGGTGAGTGAGGCCGGTGGGAGGATGTGGATGATGGAGATGAGGTGGGAAGAATAGGATAAATTCAAGATACTCAAGGAGTAACACTGTCAGGACTTGTGAATAAACTGAAATATAGAAAAGGGAGGTAGAGGGAAGAATCAAAGATGCCTCCCAGGTTTCTGACCTGCAACACTGGAAGGGTGATGCTACCATTCGATTACTCAGGGAACACTGAATGAGGACCCAGGTAGAAGAAGATTATAAACTTGGTCTTGGATATGTTGAGATGCTGAGAAAGCAGCTGGATCAGGAGCTCAGAAAAGAGATGGGACCGAAGAGACCAGTTTGGAAGTCATCTGCCAATAGGGTGAAACTGATGATATACATGGAAAAGACTGCCTGAGAGAAATTCTAGTAAGAAAAGAACACAGCCTAGGAGTGAGCCTTTTAGATAATGGAATATTTATAAGCTGTAGAGAGTAAGATAGGCTTACAAAGCCAGCTAAAAAAGAGTAGCTAAAGATGTAGGAAGAAACCCAGGAAGGTACGTGATAGAAGTCAATGGTGTTTCAAGGAGGGAAGGAGCAACCATATCAATGTCGATGAGAGTTGATATCTTTTTAAACAATGTCTTTAACTTAGGACAGATCATCTTGGTCTTGACAGATTTGCTGGTCCTGCTGATTTCCACTAAAGCCTTCTGTGAATGTAGTTCATAAAACCATCATAATAATATCGTAATTTTGTCACTCGTTAACACTATTCTAACAAACTAGTGGAAAACTAATTTTAAGACTGCAAGACTAATTAACATTTTGGATAAAAGTATATTTCCAGCATTCAAGTGATTTTGGAAAGAACCCAAAGCTAGAATATCTTGCATAGTCCTAGTTTTACCTTTATCTAGACCAGGGGCAGGACTCATGCCTTTCTTAGTTTTGGTTGCATTATCTGTTCAATGCCGGTGGGTAGTGGAGGGTAGTATATGCAGTGAGCAGATGGGAAACAGTAAACTTGTTGATCAATAACATCCCATCTCCATAAGAGCCTAGAGTTCACAATTAATTCTGCAGGAATATCAGGGGAAATGTGTGTATTTAAACCACATATTTTCAACAGTGGCCTCTTATAGGGCCATTAAATGAATTCTAATTCAAGCTATTTGGTTTAGTTCAGCCGTTTCTCAAGACCAACCAGATATTCTGACACTCATGAAGTCTATTCCCTTCATGGAGGATACTGAACATGCAATTTATTGTTTTTCTAATTTAGAGTAAGATACTATACACTAGTTCATTTTTCATAAATGTTCATATTTTCTTAAATGTTTAATATTTAACTCAAGAAGGAAACACTTTCTTGTCCACTTAAAAGCAGTTGACTTTAAATGGTAATCAAACTGTTAATTTAAAATAAGAGTAGTTCTGATTCCTCAGCACTTACAATGGTACATGGTACACACTAGGAGCTCAATAAATATTCACTGATTGAATGAATGCTGGGCTTAGAAATTCCACTGGAAAATTACATCTAAACATAGCCAAATCACCATAGTTTCCCCAGCTCCAATATTTATGTCTCACATAAACTATTTCCAGGGTGCATAGCTACAAAGATAAAATCCAATTCTATTCAAAGCAAAACATGCATAAAAATTGTAGAGATGCAAAGTATGAAAGACTTGTTATTTTCTTCAACCTAATAAAGTCTGCACTAACAAAGTATCTTATTGTGTACGCTATTTTTCTTTGCCCAATAAAGTATTTGTTTTCTCAATGCCTAATCCTAAAGGGACTTTTCAAAGGTTACTCCCTGTGCCTGGAGAGATCATCACAACTCAATTCTAGATATGTTCTGTTCACCATTCCAGGCATATTATTGATTGGTTTCAGAGTAAACACAGCACACAGCAAATAAAAAAGCTCAAGAAAGTTTCATAAAATGAAACAAAAGTGAGAGAAATAGGGACCATTTCACTTTGTTTATAAATCAAACCTGTCTCTGTAACTCCCTTTCAACTCTATCGGGGTCTACCAAACTAAGGCCCTACAGCCTCTCAATCTTCTGATTTTTCATGCCATGCCCTTGTGTCTGCAGTCCCAGTGTATGGAATGCCCTTGCATAGAAATTTCCTCCCACTAACTCCCAGTGGCCAAATTCTAACCATCTTCAAAGGTTCAAACATCATCATATCCAGGAAGTCTTCTTTGAACTCCAGAGCTAGAAAAAATCTTATCTTTTCCTAAACTGCACAAATGCAACAATTTACCTAGGCTTCTTTATAAGATTTAACATGTTCTACCTTGCATTCATTTGCAGTTACTTACTTCTACTTTCCATAGTGTGTATTTATGTGCATATACACACTATATGTACAGCATAGTATTTATTTTAGTTATTTATTTATACTTTTATCTCTTCTAAGTTTCGAAACTCCTTATGGATAGAATTGGTGTCAAAACATCTTTGCTTCCTCCATGAGGCCTAGCTCAATGTCTTGCACAGAGTAGGTGATTAGTAAATGAGGGAGCATAAAATGAGTTCTCTTCACATGTTTACTTTGTAAATAATTTGCACAATGAAATAAACAAAGCCATATGATATGCTAATGCCGCCAAAAACTAAGTCATCAATTATAGAAATATATATTTGACCCCTCTAAACTTCACTCCCTATTATACAGCAATCTTATTGGAGGGAGTGATTTAACACAAACTCACAGTTAAGTGTCCTTCATGATGGTCTGGGAAATGAATGAATAAGTACTCTGTGGCTACCAGTTGCATTATGGAGTCACCCAAGAATTCCATCCTCTGATTGTGGCCTCTGAAAAAAGAAACATCAATGTAAAGAGATCAAAAAGAATTTGTGGATTTAAAAAAAAAAGAAAAAACCCAGAATTTTTTAAAAGACATGATTTAGAAAGGCAATGTGTTCATCTTGTTTTAAAGTACAAAATAAATACAATTCCCTAAGGCTCCTCAACTGAGAAAAGATCTGAGTTAATATCAGTTGGGTTTCGAAGAAGAGTAGAGTGAATGCTATCTAAGGTTATTAAACGATTGCTAAAATAAAGACTGCTAAACATTGCCTGGTCAGAAGCTAAAGAGTATCAAATAAAGACAGACAACAAATATAGTACAGACAACAATCTTGTAACAAAACAAAGCAAAAGGGCCAATTTCTTTGTTAAATCTATTCAAATATATACTTCATTATTCAAATCTGGAATCCAGATTTTTTAAAATCTTATGATAAGAATCATTAATCTTTACAATTTAAAGAGAATTGAGAATATTTGCTATGAAAGAGGGGAGCAAAAAACAGAACCAAAAACAACCCCAAAGAAATAAAATTTTGCTTATTTTCTTAATTATTTCACTAGCTCATCTTCAAATCATTCATCTAGAGCAGGGGTCAGAGAGCTAAATCCAGCCCACAGCCTGCATCTAAGAATAAAGTTTTACTGGAACACAGCCATGCTCAAACGTTTCCCATGGCTGCTTTTATGTTACTATGGCAGAGCTGACTCACTGCACACAGACCACATGGCCTACAAAATCTAAAGTACGTAATATATTTTCCTACACGGAAAAAGTTTTTATTTTCTCCACACTTCTCTTAAACTTCACAGAGAAACAAGGCACATGACAATGGGACCAAAAATACTGAATTGGAGCATATCCCCTGGTCCACACCGGCACCTGGCTGCTTGTCCATCTCACAAAGTGACTTTCCCAGAAATACGTTTGAAATCCCAATTCCTCTGAAGGACAGATACCAAAGGTTTGAGATCGCCTCATCTAAATGGTCATGTTGAGACTACATGAGTAGTCTCTAACTCACAGGGTCAGATGGTTAAATCCCACAGTTCTCAATGTGAATGCCCTTGCTAGAAGTCGAACATGAGTAAAAATTACTCCAATTGCTTCTTCAAACTCAGTAAGTTTCTGTAGAACTGGAGAAGTTTCAATAAGTTGTCGATCGGTATTTGGTTCTTGTAGCTACAGGAAATCAGAAATAAATAAAAATCGTGTAGTTTCTGGTTACAAAAGTAATGATCAATTCTAGGACAGTGTTTTATAAAATTCCTTCTCCCATGGGCAGAAATTCTGAAATGCCAATAAAATATGGAAGCTTCTTTTTCATCTCTTAGAATGGTAAATAAACCCAATATTTAAAGAAGGCTCAAATAATATTTTCCAATCTTCTATAAAATTTCAAGGCCAAGTACTGTACACAGATAGTTCAAAATCCCAAGTATTATACTGACTCTCCAGGGAAGATGCAAGCTGAAGAACAGCTGGTAGAGAATATATATATCTAGTAAAGTGGTGGTTCTCAAACTTAAGCATTCATGAGAACACTTACAGGGCTTGTTAAATGGAGATGACTGAGCCCTATCCCCAAGGTTACTGATTTCATATGTCTGGAGTGAGGATTAAGAGTCTGCCTTCCTAAAAAGTTTCCAAGTGATGCAGATGCTACTGGTCTGGGACTGTCCTTTGAGAACCACTGTATTAAAGTAATTTGACTATCGTGTCTTCTAGAAACCAAGGTATTTTGGCAATGAGCATCATTAAAACTAATTTCAGCTAATGCTAAAGATTATTATACCACAAGACAGGTGGTGCTCCATGTGACAATGAACCTTTAACAACTGGCAGAGAGTAAATATGAAAAGTGTAATTAAAATGAACATTTTCAACTAGTTTGGATACTCTCGTATTAATATTTTTAAAGTACTCTGAATTAATGTCGTTTATTACTGTAAAGCTTCTCATGAGAATTCAACCATTAGTGATCACTCTCGTATTTATTTATACATAGATACATGTATCAAAATATGCATATATAAGTATATGCATGCATATTGACATATATGCATATATCCCAAAGTAAAATAAAAATAAAATCAAAGAATAGTAAGAATTTTAAACCAACTGGGAAAAGGGTGTCACCACACTTACAGCTTTTAAATTCCAAAATCCTGAGTAAAAAGCCATCATACTATACTAAATTTTTAATGGACAATAAATTTTATGCAATCTGAGTTTAACTCTCGATGCAATCTGGAACAGCTCTCAATTCCTAAGATCCAAATTAGGTTACAATTTAGCAATGTTAATTTAGCATTTGTTCTACTTTTTTAATATGCTCAGATTCACTTCCATATTATTTTCTCTACAACAGCAGGTGTGTAGATATTCTGGAGTCAACATATGCTTTGACTATCACCTTTTAAAGGGGGAGAGGCACACATAACTACACAGTAGCTCTTCCTGACTTGTTGAGGAAAGACAACTTCCAATGTTCCCCCCCCAATCCCAGACCACATAAATGGGTTCATTTCATTATTTGTTCTAAACTTTTCCAGCTCTGACACCCCAACTTAAAGGTGTAATGCCACTGAAGGGAATCAAAGGATAAAAGCAGGAAGGGAAAAAAAGGCAAACGAAAGTAACATGAATAGCTGGAGTTATAAAGCTCACTGCAGACAGGAAGGTCACACTTACTTGGAGTGGGTGGAGAGGATAATTGAGCCAGACTTCGCGCAGGTCCTGGAAAATGGAGTGATGCCTTTAATGCTCAAGAGAGCCATTTAACATACTCTAGAATACTAAATAAAATGTCATTATTTGAAATACTGAACTATTTCAGATGCTGACTCCACTTACTGCAAATTCAATACTGCTAGCAAACTAATTTTTTTAAAAGTGTTTTCACCACTGAAACTGCCTGTAGTGACTCTAATTAGCCTATTAAGCTGGGGAGGAAAAGAGCCACCGCTAGCCCCAGAAGTCAAAGACACTTTTTAAAACTAAGTTACACATTTGCTTAACCTAATATACTGGATTAAGCTGCTCTTTAATCATATTTTTTTGCTTACCATTCCCCAGAAATGTGCATCAGCTGTGCCTTTTGTAATTAAAACTCACTTCAAATGTCCTTTATTTTAGGCACTAATTCATTATCACCTTAGCGGTTTTAAGATGGAGTGGAAAACACCCCATATCTTGTTCACAAGCTCCTACATTTATGAGACCAAACATTTACTGCTGGTCAATATAATTGTTGACTTGAACTATTCAAATGAATGAATTTTATGGAAAACCCTAGTACATTATTTTATCCACTGAGTTAAATCTAGAGGCAGTTATAATTAGAACTTTCTCAGAATTAAAGTGTTTTTCCTTCAGTTTCAGATGCTAGAGAGCCTCTGACTGAATCTACTTGCTGGCCTTGACGTTAGGTTTCTGAAATAAACAACAAAAATTTTTTTGAAAAGAGGGAAAAATATTTTTCTTAAGTTTTTTTTGAGGGGGGTAAGAAGTACAGGAAAATTAAGTATAACTCGTGACACACAGAGATAAAGTGAAATAAAATACTTAATATTTTTTTTTTACAACATGCACCTTAATAAAATATACTTAAAATTTTTTTACCGTATTTTTAAAAAGCATTTACATCCAACTGTTCTTTAAAGGCATTTTAAAGGACTTCTCTTAACCAATTCAGAAACCTTTCCCTTGAAATCTCTGTAGCGTGAATTACATTGAATATTACTGCCGTCTTACAACTTCCTAGTGTTCTCTCAATGCTTTTATTTCCCTCCTCCACCACCCTAAGTGGGCATTTACCAAACTTCAGCCCCTTGCCCGACCTATGCATTACCTTCTCCTCTGGAGAACTCGACCATTCTCCTTGCTTTAACGACTAGCTCAGTTTGGACTACTCGTTCATTTCCACTGCAGCACTGACCTCTCATCTAAGCTATGGACCCTATGGACTGAGGTCTATAACACTAAATGCTTTACAGGCATCTATGACCTTTATACAACATAAACAAATGATAACTTTTCACCTTTCCCCTTAAACTATGGAGTCTGCTGTTGGGGAAGACTGCCTAGGTCTAATCCTAATTTCCATGTTGGCAATTCACTTAACCTCTCTAAGCCTCCACTTCCTCAAGCATAAGACAAAGATAATTATAGGATACCCAATCACTAAACCCTCCTTGCCTTGTAACAGTATCCGATCCCAAATTAATCCCTTGTTTCTCTAATCTGGCCTCAGACAAGGTAACCAACCAAGAACACTCACAATCATTCAGCACCAGCCCAGGCCTCAGGAAGGATGCGTCCCTTGGCCCCGCCTTACCAAATGCCGTCAGTCAATCTGACTTTGTCGCCTACAGGCTTGTCCCTGGCTGTCTTTGGCTGATTAGGCGTCCATGATACCATTACTCAAAAAAAGTACAACAGTTCACTAACATCTCTCACATACAGCTAATGGACGGAGATGTCAAATGAGAGAGAATGTCCAACTTTGTTTACTTGAAAATGCTGACGTGGAAAGCCCATACATTACTACGCCTTGTTCAGTTTTATAAAGGACACAGTAAAACAAATTCTGAATCTCAACCATTCCATTTGTAAGATAATGTTCAGACTTCACTTTTTCATTTAGTCATTTCTTCATTTCACTCTTTTAACAAATATTTATTAAATTCTGCACATGTCAGCACTGCACTAGGTACTGAACATAAAAGATAAGCTTGCTAAGTAGACAACTAGAAGAGAAGCAGTTTAAAGAAAGAAAAGACTCTAAACACAAACCGATGCAATTAAAAACACAAGGTGTAAAACTGCCTGTAATTCAGGAAAACAGGAACACAGAGAGGACGGGAGAAGCATCCCCCAGGTAAAATGGAAGAAAGGGACAGTGAAAAGGTAGGGGTGGGGGAACGAGCTTATGGGGCAGGGGGGACACAGGGGCAAGACAGGAGGGAAAAAACAGAAAAAGAAGTTGCTGAAATGGCCAAATAAAGATAAAGGTCAGAACAAAGATAATTTGAGAAAAAGTCTTGAACAAACACTATCTGCTACAGACACAAATTAAGATGCACATTTGTTTACATGTGTAGGACAAAATGGGGACGTGGAACACCTGAATTTTCCCCTCACAACAAAATTCACACATACAAAAACCATCACACATCTCTAGAAAAACAAATTAAAAATCAAATTCTCAGAAATGAACATTGTCCAGTTCATTTTTCAAAATTATTGATTCTTTTTTTTTTTTAAACTATCCAAAGTAATACAATAATAACATCTGACAGCCACTTAAGCTGAAGGTTTCACAGAAGCTTAAAGGACTGGCTTCCTGTGTTCTTTATTGCTCCATGAGGGCTATTTCATTCAATTATAATGACATTTCAATTTGGAATACAGAGTTGCCTCTCCCTTGAAATGTTAAATTGACTTGTTTTGGTACAAAAAGCACCCAGTATGCTCTATTACATGCAGGATTAAAAGGTATCTCTGGCAATATTAATAGCTTAATACTTTAGTAACAACAGAAACTATTTTAGAATCTATCATTTTTTCTTAAACTATAATTTGCTTCAAAACAAAAGTGCTTCCATACTCTTTATTCATAGCCCTATCAGAAACTCCCTATGAACTGACTTTCTAAAATAAATATACATTTATCTAGTCTACATAATTTATGTAAAAACAAATCATAAACAGAAAAGCCAAAAGGCTATCATTTCAACTAGGCCTGCATGGGGTAGGTACCCAATGATTATAAAATATAACACCATAATTAACTTCAAGATACTTCAAAATGAAGCTAAGTCTTATTACATTTGTATTCATATTTAATTTACAAGTGACCACAAGAAAGACAGCATTCAGATGAAAGAAAAACTCCTAGTGTAAATGCCCATGGAACTTTCCCATCTGCAAGAGTTGAATAAGCTATTTTTCGTGTACTAGAAGTAGACCATGTATGGTAGGTAATATTGGGTATTTTGTTTCTCCTACAGACTCTTTAAGATACAAAGACCGACTGAAATAAAATCTTTCATAATGATATATAATTGGGAAAAATCAAATGATTCAAGATAAATACCGGATCATTAAAGAGTAAGCGTCCAAATAACTGTTTGGCTTCCTCCAGACTTCCCTCCAAGTAAACAGCTCCTAGATAAAAGGAAGAAAATGCCAAAAAGAAGTCTGCATTAATATTCAAAGAAAATTACATATCTCTATAAAAAGCAAAAAGGCAAGCCAAAAACCACTCAAAGAAAAAAAAAAATCAACTTCAGAAGCAATTGCTTTAAAGGTAACATTTCCCTCTTTTAGCTATGATCTCTATAAAAAGCAAAAAGGCAAGCCAAAAACCACTCAAAGAAAAAAAAAAAATAAACTTCAGAAGCAATTGCTTTAAAGGTAACATTTCCCTCTTTTAGCTATGCTTTGTATTATAAATTAGACTCAAATACAAAACTCAATTTATTAAAAAATCTAATATTGTAAGTAAAAGAGGCCAAATATGAATTATCATGAAGGGTAAGGGTATAAACCTTACTAAGGGAACAATGTACAAATACCTGACTTTACTCAGGAAAATGTTACATTTTATTTTCTGTATTTACAGTTTATGTTTCAGACCAAATATTAATACATACAGGCATCTAAGAAAAAAAGTCCTGATAGACAAAACCTGAGTCTAGATCGATGAAGGCTTCTGCAAATAAAAATCGGGGTAACTTTTACCTTTAATTTGAAATATAAGCACTGTGCACATATTTAGTATTAATCGTAACCACTAAGTACTACAGTATTTTAATTGGGTATCAAATAACTCTGGAGTAGTGTAGTCATTATTTTCTTGAAATCAAATTTTACACTTGTCTTCAGAAAAGGTTACTTTTCCATGTAATAAGTTAAGATACTTAGTTACCAGGGCTTTTGACAACTAAATACAGTTATTATTTATTGACAGTTGTAGTAACAATAATGATAGTAACAGTAGTAATGGTAGTAGCCGTTGTGGTTTGGGGGCTATTTATGCCCTGGGCACCATGCAAAGCATTTCCACATTCTCATCTTCATCTTCAAAGGGCACCTGGTAGGAGGGTATTAGAAAAGACCTGGGTTCAGATTAGCTTGATTTGAGGGAGGACTTAAGGAAGTAAAACTTTGTTCTGGATTGGATGCTGCCAGAACTAGATATCAAGATCTTTACACCAACTCTGTGAGGTAAATGATCCTATCTCCGTCTCACAGATGGGGAAACCGAGGATCAAAGAGATTAGATAATTTTGACAAAGACATGGATCTGATAAATGATAGAACAGGAAGCTGAATCACCTGTCTAGCTTGGAGACAATGGTAACACCAACTGTCAAAAATATTATGTGTACAGAGCACAGTAATTCCACATGTTAAACTCCCTGAAAATAGACATATTTGTGAAAAATAAAACATAGCTGTGAAAAGACTGGATAATTATTAAACATTCTCTTGCTGCTATCATCAGCATGAAACTATAATGGGAAGCTTTTATATTCATTTTCAAAGGAAGAGGGCAAAAATGGTAAGTACAAAGGCCTTTGAAAAATAAAATGTACTTGATCATTTACCTAAAAAAATCAAATTGTCAATCTACTGTAACATTTCACTGTAAAGCATACTTGCAATCACCAGCTAATTAACTCTTCATAACTTTCCTCTACCAACAGCTGATTGTATTCTGGTTACGGTCAAAAAGAAACTGAGGAAGTAAAGTGCCTGGGTGAGGAGTGAAGTGTCTACATCAGTCTTGCTTCATTCAAGTGAATAAATAATAGTTATGTAGACTCAAGCCTGGATTTTAGAAATGTAGTGTTTTCAAGATGTTTAAATCAGAAAATACTGCAAATAGTTTAAAATGTAGTCAAAAACAACCCAAGCCTCTCCAACGACCTAGTTTCTGTTTATTTATGTTTATTTGATTCTGCATCAAATCTGGAAAGTAATCCATCCCCATATTAATTCACTTCATTTCAATTCATTCAGTACTTACTAAGCATCTGCATGATATCAGATACCAATTCGAGCACCAAGAATGTAAAAATCAGAGAGCATGATCAGCATCTGGAGGAACTAAAATAACTATAATACAAGGTAGTGAGTATTGTACTAGGAACTTCACGTGCTTCGGCAACAAGTAATTCTGTCCCAAGTTCCCACACTGAATTTTATGTGCACTCCAGACTGTTGAGACACACAAGAAAGTAGAATGTGAAAAGAGAAATTACCTATTAATGCTTCAAAACAATTAGCCATTGCATGCCGAAGGTCCGATTCTCTACAAAGGTCAGGCCCGTGAGCATACAGCATAAATCGATCCAGTTCAAGTTTCTATAAAATTCAAAATGATAAAAGTAAGAAAGAGTTGGCCAAAATTTTAACTATAATAATTCAGCAGCTCCTGGGGGAGGAGGGCTGATGGTTACAAATCCACTGGACTCATGTTAGTACATTAAGAGAGCTTAGTCTACCATTCAGCAGGAGTCCTGCACTTGTGGTTCAGTTCTGACTAACTCGACTCTCTCCCAAACAGGCTTCTACAAACTCCCACAGTTCAAGTAGGGGTCAGAATTGATCAGATCTGAGCTTTCGAAGTTCAGACTGAACATTAGTCCAAGCTGGAATAAGACTCTGCTACAAGAGCATGGACCCCTGAGACACAAACCTAACCCAAAGTTCTGAAAGTCAGCTTTACCTCTCTGATTTCAGAGTTATGTGGTACTGATGATGTCTGTACCACACAAAACAGATTTTTATGCAGTAAAGTAAATGGGGAACCTCAGAAGTCTTCAAAATGCCTTATACCTCCAAATCTTTTTTTTTTCCTGGTGAGGATTGTGGGGGCCCTATATCTTTGCACTTGCGTTGCCTTTATGAGGTTTCCACACTCCTGTCTGTGCAAGCTAAGTGTGACCTGCTGAGCAATGAATGGGATTGAAGGGCTCTGGGAATATAGTTTGTAGTGAATTGCACTTTCTTTTTTGATCTGTCCTCAGGAAAGTTTAGAGCCAAGTTTGTGGCTCAGCTCTAGGTACAGGACTTATGAATATATTGGTATAGACTAACTTTACCTCTGGCTTCTTTTTACTGTCTTACCCCATATTTTCCCTTTATTTTGGTTTCTGTAGCTGTTTATTTCTTATCCTATGGTATTGTAACAAATCAATTCTACTCCTTTCAGAACTAGACACAATATAAATGAATATTTTTTTATAAAACTCCTGAGATTGAATAAATGGAAATCATAATTCTTTTCATAAAAGGAGAAAGATACAAACATTGCATAAATATGCAATAAATTTGTTTCCATTACCACGTAATTCAATTCAATAAATACTTACTAAGCAATAACATGCCACATGATATAGAACAAGACACAAGTCAATGAATAATCTAGGACAATATGAGTCTGATTAGTCCTCAGATAAAAGACACTCAGATTTTGTCTCAGTATGTACGTTAAATATTCATATTCATCTATATTGGGAAAAGACAGACAACAAAAACAAGACATATATGCTACAGTATTTTGTAACTGTTAGGAATCCATGAGTATAAAATATACTCAAATGAGAGTTTTGACAACCACAAATGCAACAGCAGAAAACATCTCTTTTTAAAAATTGATCCCAAAGTACAAGAGTTTATACTAGAATATGTAAATTTCATCTGTTTGACAACTTCACTGGGAAAATCCAATTGTTTGCTATCTCTGGAGCCCTGCTTGAGAGCAGACTGCAAGCCATATTTTATCTTATAAACAACGACTGTATTATGGAGTGCTGTGAATTTTCCAACTTCTCCTAGTCTCTACTGTATATCCTTATTTTTCCACACAGGCATTAGAGGAGCGTTTATAGGGAGAGGATAATATTCTACTGTGTATGTGTTAAGATGCTCATTAGTCTGGAGAGCTGACCTAGAGTTTTCATTAAATTTGCAAGGTGAGTGGTCAGCCATTCTCCATCAATTCCCCTCACTCCCAAATGATCATCACATTAATGGCCATGTGAGTTGTATTTAACTCACACTAGTTTTGAGCCCAGGGCCTTGTGAAGCATATGTAACTCACATGTCTCTTCACCTTGGGAGCCATGAGAACTATTTTTCAAGTTGCATATAACTCACACACAGAAAACAATAAAAAATAACAAACTTTTCATTAAATTAGAAAGGATTGTTTTGTTTTCAAAGTTTTTATTCTATTTTAGTAATAAACCACCATGGCCCCAATGAAAAAATTTTTTTTTGTAGTGTGGCGGTCAATGTATTAAGGACCACTCATCTATACAGAAGAAAGTTAGGGCCCCCACAGCCATCTGCTGGAGTGGAATGGGTGCTGAATACTGTGGGAATGGCAAGTCTTAGGCTTGGTAGAGGAACATCACATAGAAATCCCAGAAGGGAGAAACTAGCTACCTCTGTCATTACTCATGGCTTTGCATAGCACCGCATGTGTTACGTAACGGCTTCTGTTTTCATGCTATGGCAATTTCCCAAACTTTAAATATCCTCCTTACAATTATCTGAAAAATAATTATACAATTCCATTATATCTTAAACGAAAAAGAAAACAATGGAGAAAAGAATGACAACCTACTTATTAATATGTACCTCCAATGGCATTAATATGAACTATCAGGAAGCATTCTGACAATTAAATCACCCAAACACTAAAGCAGTTTTACATAGTTGTGAAATGTCATTCATTGTGAGGCCGCTAAATCAAGTTAGCTTACCTTGTTGTCCACAGTTTTTCATTAAGGCATCATTATTTGCATTCTCAAATGCCACAAAAGCTGGTTCAAAGTCTACCACTAGAACTATGATAATGATTGTATTACATAAAATAAAACAATGCATTTTTCCTAACACCTGGGCCAAAGTTAAACACATTTTGAATATAATTAATGCCTTGGCAAGATCAAACTAAGAAAGCAGGCATAAAACTAGGATGGGTTTTATCTAGTCTTTTCTATCAAATTTCAACTTTTATATCAAAATGAAGAAAAAAATAGAAATTACTTAAGGCAAAATTCAAGGAAAACTGGACCGGGAGTGGTGGCTCACGCCTGTAATCCTAGCACTCTGGGAGACCGAGGCGGAAGGTTCGTTTGAGCTCAAGAGTTTGAGACCAGCCTGAGCAAGAGTGAGACCCCGTCTCTACTAAAAATAGAAAGAAATTAGCTGGACAACTAAAAATATATAGAAAAAATTAGCCGGGCATGGTGGCGCATGCCTATAGTCCCAGCTACTTCAGAGGCTGAGGCAGAAGGATCACTTGAGCCCAGGAGTTTGAGGTTGCTGTGAGCTAGGCTGGTGCCACGGCACTCGAGTCCGGTCAACACAGTAAGACTCTTGTCTCGGAAAAAAAAAAAAAACAAAACAAGGAAAACTCACAAAAGCTTTTCCAGTCAATCCTCAGTATTTGGAAATTTAAGAGCCACTGGTCTAGCTACTATTAAATAAACCCAAAGGTCTACAAAAACGTAAGGATTTATCACAAGAACAAGGGTAACAGCAATAAAAATAATTAGCTCCCACAAAATTATTCACATTTTTGTTTGACTACTATTAACAAGTATTATGCCAAGCAATTTATGGAATGAATCACTAAAATTCATAATATCATTTATTATAATTCTCACAACCAGGCTGTGTGGCAGGTACTAATGTCATTTCCATTTTACAGATAAGAAAGTGGAGGTTTGGAGAAGAGAACAACGTGTCAATTTGTCCCTGGCCACCCTATTTATAGGAGGAGGGGTGTGAACCAGAACGCTGTTGAGTCAGTACAAGTGCCCGGGTTCTTTTCTGCTATGAATCACCATAGTAAGATGTTGCACAGAGATGGACACATCAAAGCAGATCACGTAAGGAAAATGCCTAGCACGAATCTGAACCAAGAAAAAGTTCTGTCAGTCACTCAGCTAAGTCAATGAGGCTAGCTGGACAGCCTAAACCCTAAATCTTAATTAAAGGGATTTGTGATTTGGGGGATTCTCAAAGGTCTGTAAAGTACCCCCTGTAAACGGTCTGGAATATTCTGTTCAAAGCTATAATTCTGCTTGTTAATGTAAATTAAAAACAAATGTATTACAGAAATATTACACAAAGGGAAAATACAGAATATTTCATTTCTTTTGCTTTGTTCCCATGTTCCTCTTCCCCAAATGTTTAACTCTGTTCATGTACATCTGTCAAATTTTTCTTCATCTGTTCTCAAGTTACCTCACTGTGGAGTTCATTAGCTGCTGGTGAAACTCACAAAGGTAACAGAACTAATAAAGCTGAATCCTTAAAACCCGAACAAAAAATACTTCCTGGTCTATAAAAATGTTACCCCCTTAATATATCCTAAAGAGCTACTTATTCAAATGCAAAATTATGCATCGACTGAAGAAGAGAATGTGAGACGTAACTACAAGTGCTTCAGATGTTTTATGTACCTTTGCTAGCATGGCAAGGTGCTGATTCTGAACAATGGCAGTTCGATAGGTCGCTAATCCTCCTTCTTCCAGACTCGGAAACAAATAGTACAAATGGACACTACAAAAAAAAGAAGCACATAAATAAATACGCATCACGACATCCTGT